GAGGAGAGGAGGATGGTGAAGCAGAAGATAAACCAGTGCAAGGATGCTCAACGACAAGAGGAACTGAGCACAATGTATAAAACACTGGACAAAGAAGTGAAGAAGAGTGCACGCAAAGACAAAAGACACTTCTACGAAACACTGGCAAGTGAAGCAGAACAGGCTGCAGGTAAGAGAGACCTGACGACATTGTATCAAATAACCAGGTTGCTATCAGGGAAGAGACCAACACAGATGAAACCAATAAAAGATGAAGAAGGAAATTTAATTACAAAAGAAGAGAAACAGAGGAAACGATGGGCCGACCACTTCAAGAAGCTCTTGAATCGACCACCACCTGCACTTCGTCCAGAAATACCACCTGCAGCCGCTGAATTACAAGTGAACATAAATCCCCCAACGAAAATGGAAGTCCTGAACGCCATAAAGCTACTGAAATGCGGGAAAGCAGCAGGACCAGATGGAATACCGCCAGAAGCACTGAGAACAGATGCAGAGACAACAGCGGACATGCTCACACCACTATTGCAGAAGGTGTGGAAGGAAGAGAAGGTACCTGACGATTGGAAGAAGGGTTACCTTGTCAAACTGCCGAAGAAGGGAGACCTCAGTGCTTGCAAGAACTGGCGCGGAATCACTCTCCTGTCCACCCCAAGTAAAATATTAAGCCGCATCATCCTGGAGAGGCTTAAAGATGCACTGGATTCAAAACTGCGACCGGAACAGGCAGGCTTCAGGAAGTACAAATCATGTGCAGACCAAATTGCAACGCTTCGTATCATCATAGAACAGAGCATAGAATGGCAATCAGCTCTCTACCTCAACTTCATCGACTTTGAGAAGGCCTTTGACAGCGTCGACCGAGAAGTAATTTGGAAACTGCTTCAATACTACGGAGTACCGCAAACCTTTATCCGCCTCATTCAACAACTATATGAAGATGCCACATGCCAAGTAATCCACAATGGGAAGCTCAGTGATGCCTTTGAAGTGAAGACAGGAGTGAAACAAGGTTGCCTACTATCCCCCATGATATTCCTTATTGTGGTGGACTGGATCATGCAGCAAACAGTAGGCAGCGAGAAGAGGGGGATACACTGGACGACGGAAAAGAACCTAGAAGACTTGGATTTCGCCGATGACTTATGCCTAATGTCACACAAACTTGAAGATCTGCAGGCAAAAACTAACAAGTTGATAGAAGAGGCAGCTAAGACGGGACTTCAGGTGAATATAGAGAAGACAGAAGTGATGAAGATACCGCACCACCACCATCAACAACAACAACAAACTCCAATCACCGTCAACGGGAGAAACTTGAAGGAAGTAACCTCCTTCACTTATCTAGGAAGCACTGTTTCAACTACAGGCGGGACGGACGAGGACGTCAAAGTCAGAATCGGAAAAGCAAGACAGGCGTTCATTAGCCTGAAACCAGTGTGGAGATCTTCTGCACTCAGCATGCGGAACAAGATACGGATTTTCAACACCAACGTCAAGTCAGTGCTCTTGTATGGCTCAGAGACTTGGCGCGTCACGAAAGGGATTTCCAATAAACTACAGACATTCATCAACAACTGCTTACGCTCGCTACTGAAGATCAGATGGCCAGAAAAAATAAGCAACAAGGAACTCTGGGAACGAACCAACCAAGAACCTATCACGCAACAAATATGCAGGAAGAAGTGGAGATGGATTGGCCATGCACTGAGAAGGCCGACTGAGGACATCACGCGTCAGGCCCTCGAGTGGAATCCCCATGGGAAGCGACGAGTTGGACGTCCGAGGGTGACATGGAGGAGGTCGTGCGAGCAGGAAATGAGAGCTTGTGGGCTGTCGTGGGACCAGGTTCAAAAGATCTCAGAGAACAGAGGTCACTGGAGGCGTGCTACTGAAGCCCTATGTTCCACTAGGAACCCAAGGGACTAATAATAATAATAAATAATAATAAACCAAGAGGTAGCATGAAGTCCCCAACTATCGGTGTGATCGATTCGGGAGATGTAGACTGCCTGGTTGGGGTACTCGAGAGGAAAGAAATCAGTGGTTGAGGACTGTTGGTGACATAGTTGAAAATCAGTCACGATGGCGCAGATGTATTCACTACTTGACATCTAAAGCTTGACAATTTGCGTCAACTGTTTTCTCTAGGTTATTTGTTCTCTCACACAACTCTATCTACTTTGATATCAATCTTTTTCTGTCAATCTGTTCTTTGTATACTACAGTGAAGTGTGGCAACTCAAGCCGATCCATCTATATGCCGGGTTCTGCGTTGATTTTTTCAGTCAGTTCTAAGGCCAGAGTGGTAACTTGAGGGTTTTAATGTATCGAATATAGACTTGGAGAGAAGTTTCTATTCCAACATTGACTTTAGAGTCTTAGTCAGTTGACGTTTTTGCGCTTCTGTTTTACTTTTACAATTTCTTATTTTCTGAAACTTTCTCTGGTTATTGAGAAGAATGTTTATCTCATCTATATAGTCACATTCGTTCAAGATATCTGTACCAGATTCCTTATCAAGCTTGGTGATTATCAAATTACCACCTCTTTTGAGCTTTTGAATAGCTTTTCGGTGTTTCTTGATGAATAGGCTTCTGAAGGGATATTTATTATTCATAAATTTATAACGGCAATCAATCAAAGTAGTTTTAAACCTCTCTTGAGACAGGCAGACTCAGCGTAGAACCTCGGACACAAGTGCATCACTTCACGATGCCTCACTTCACAGTAGTGTACAAAGAACAAGTGGATAGAAAAAGACTGATATCAAAGTAAACAAAGGTGCATAGAAGAATAAACAATTTGAAGATAAAGGTTAATGAAAATAGCCAGGTTTTGGAAGACGCTAAAGAGGGAATACATCTGCAACATCAGTGGCCTGTTCTAAGCCATGTCACAAACAGTCTCCAGGAACTGATTTCTATCATCTTTATGAGCCCAGAAAGGTAGTCTTCACTAACCTCAACACGGCCCATATCATCAGCCAAAGGCTCGTAATTAGAAGATAAATTGTGTGTTTGAACAAGCAAGTTTTCAAAGCGAATATATCTCTTTATATGATTCACTTGACTAGATCTATTACAGAATTTCAGAGCAGGAGATAAAACTTCTAATTGTGTTTTATTTACACAGACGTAAGAAAAGTTGAAAACTTACCGTAGTTAGTTAGGAATTCAGTTTCAGTTTTCATCAGTAAAATTATTCCTTTCTTTGCTATGGAGTGTAGCAACTTAAAGTGACGCACCTACGTTTAAAGTTCTACGTTTTTTCTGTCAGTCACTCAGTTCCCATCTATTTGGAATTGGTGTTAAGCACTGAACCGATGAACGTAGATTCCGTGCCCAACCTATGTCTTGCAGAACATAGGAACCTAGTTAAACGTCTATTGATATACAGTATTCAGATGAGTAATCTGGTGAAGAATTCAGCCATAGCTATGCATGCGATAACACACAACCTTGCGACAAGGTGTGACAGAGTAACCATCCTTAAAACTAACTTAGTAAATTGTAGAAAGAGGTTGATCACTGAATCTCAGTCTATGGAATGAACAGCTAATACGTGTAATAGGAACGATTCAGCACCGATTCTAGATATATGGAAAATCGTGCTATTAACTGTCTAATTAGATAACTAAAAGCAGTAGGACTGTAAACAATAAGCAATAAATTACACTCGAAACGTCATCTAGTAAGTGATATTGTATCACTACATCAAGCCCCTAATTCTATACTTACATAAAATTGGTACCTCTCTACATTATACAGTATCTCTACCAGGTCCACTGTAAAATTTACTGATTAGCTATTATTAAAAGTGTTCAGAACTAAGCACTTTCTCCAATTACTATTTCATGTACTTAACAGATTAAAAAGGTTAAACTTACCAACATATCACAGAAAATGTATCTTTTGATCAAATTAATAAAGGATTGAATGTTCATTCATTACTTGAAAATCTATTGCATATATGAACCGTCAACTGTGAATGCTTAGAAATGCATTAGGCTGTGGTTCATCTGATTAGATAATTGGCTTTCAGTTAGTAGACTGCTAGTTTTGGTACTAATCTACTCATTGTGAGGATGTATAACAAAGCAATGTTATCATTTCTCAGACAGAAAATGTAACTCACAGTGAGGCTTTCGAGTTGCAGTTAATTCACATTACTGGCGATGTAAATAAGCTGACAATTCTACATTCCATAGTTGTTGATCTTCGGTGCCTCCATACTCCTCTAAATAAGCAAACTCTTTTAACTGAATTCACTGTGAGCTATAAGGTTTTGAGATGGAAACGACTTGTTCCTTTTTTAACAGTAATCTTCAAATAAGCAATTCGGTGATTTCAAAGCTGTGTTACTCGCAGCTCATGTTTCATTTTTAATTAACCTCCTATCCTTGTACCAAACTCAGCTTAACATAGAACAACTTTATTCAAGATTACTTTATCGATAGCCAGATTTTATCTGACTGTTTAACTTTAAAACTGTTGATTTACTAGGATGATCAGTCTGCAAACGAGCTATAAATTGCATGATCCACGTTGGTATTTCCATAGCTGAGTAGTTTTCAACCGTCATCCAACTGTGATGTCACCAAGGTCTTCGTTGGAAACCACAAGCCAGCCAAGATCATAAGGCGTGGTCTCTGACAAAAGAGTGTGTTGAACTAGCGAAATATACTACTACTGAATAAACTGAGTAGTTAAAAACCACTCAGGCTGGTTTATAGATTTCGCCAGTCAGATCAGAGTGATCTAAACACCGAACGGTCTTTTCGCTTGCTTGCTGTCGAACTCATCACCTACTTCTGTTGATTTGTTTTAGTACTAAAATGCAGTATTTTAAGTTTTTAAATGATTTTTTGACATATTGTGGAGACCACTTGGAAGGAACTTGTTTCCTCTCACTATCTAAAATGTTACTGTTATATTACTTTTATCTTTCACAGTAATATATATTTCAAAATGCTATTAATGTTCATTATCTCGTTTCAGTTAATTTTCTTGGATTGCAAAGTATTACTGAGTCCAGATCATGAAGCATCGAATGGTTTAATCCATCACATTGATGGAGTAAGTTCTTACCTATAAAACTTGTAGACACTTTACGTCACTGAATTGCAAAATTCCTCATTTCCTAACTAAATATTACGAAATGGAGAAAATACTTCTATAATTCAGTCGTTGAATAACGCCCTTCGGGGTCCTATTCTCAGACATCACGACTGATAATTATGCAGGAAGACAATAAGAACCAATGAATTGATTAGCTACAAGGGAAGTAAACAACAATCGACTAAACTGCATGAAATTTCTAGTGTCGTTGATGGCATCCTTAAGGTAACGGTTAGATTGGAGCAGTGGAAAGCTACTTTATTCTAGTATGGAGATCCTCAGAGGTTTCCAACCACAACATCTCCAGAGATGCATCCCAGGCCCTTCAGTTTTCGCGGTGAGCATGTTGCCACTGAACCACTGGGTTGGAATCCAATGGTTCATATGATCCTACTTCTACCAGTTCGCAATATTGCGTGACCTCTATTCAATGCTGTCATTAAGTATCTGTCCTGGCGTTTGACTTGGCTTGTTTCATCGGTCACAACCTCTCTCTGGAACTTAGAGAAGTCCCACCTCGAAGCAAGTCACTAATGAACACTGTAGAGTAGTTCATTTCGGAGTTTGTGGGAATTTATTGATTTCAGCGTTGATATTCATCAATAACTGGTATCACTTGGGCAATCACTGAAAACTTAGGGGTACTGGATAGGTGTTTCGTCCTAGTATGAGACTCATCAGCAGTGAAAAACACCTATTTCACTCCTTGATGAATACTACTCTGAAACCAGTGAGTCCACATAAACCTCTAAAATCAATTCTCATGGCGAGTCCTGCTCCCTATAGTAGCAAAAAGTGTTATCAAAATTGTCTTTCTCCTTCCGAGGAAAAGTGACCAAAGTATTTTACTCAGCAGACAGAATCAGTGTCATCGCCTTTGACTTGTGTGGTTCTTGTGATCCACTGTTTTAAGATTTCACTGGAAAAATAGATCCAAAAAGTCGAATTTCATTTTCTCTGATTTTTGGTAACATCATTTCATTTATGCTAAAGATTTCACTTAGGAAAGTAGCTATAATTAAGACATCATCGAAGTAGGCGATTACTCCAGGAATCTTGGATGAAATCACGTCCATTAACTGTTGCAAGTGTGCTGGTGAAATCGTTATTCAGAGTAGGAACCAATTGTACTAAACTAGTCGGCTATGAGTACTTAGAGTCAATAGTTTCTGGTTTTTCTGTGATAATTCAACTCGCAAATTTGCGTCAGCATTGTCTAATTTTGCAAAGAAGCAGGTACCACGTAGAATAGCGGACATATCAAGAACAGTTAAAGCATAATGATGCTTTCTTGGAGCTGGTTTTCAAGCCAGTGAAATGGTCAGCATAAGCAAATAGGGACCAATAGCTTTTTTAACTGCTGTGAAAGAGGTTGCCCATTTTGAATGAGTGACAGGTGTCAACACACCTTGTTGGTGTAAGTGCTGTAGCTCTTCGTCAGTCTTAGCAATGGACATACGTGGAAATACCAGCTTTGCACCTGACGAAAGGATGATAAGCAGTTTGCATTTTGATACAGGGGCCGAGACTAAGTTGAAAAGTGTATGCGAGTTTGTTGCATAAGTTGGCTAAATGGTTATCCGTTTAATGAGGATGCTTTATTATATTCCAAACTGATCTCAGCAGTACTTCAGTAAACTGATGGCTATCAGACTGGTCGTGACACAGAGGCTCTAAGTCACTTTTGGTTATGTGTTTCATGATTACTAAGTTGATGTCATCAGAGGAGGTCATGATAATTTGAGAACCTTCTTCAATAGCAGGACTTTCAATATCGTTCACAAGCTTTTTGAAATGATGATAATAGTAAAAGCAGTAAATGTCAGGACAAATGTCTTCACTTGAGGTTGTAATACGACACGCAGAAAATAAACTCGTAAACGTACCAATTTGGGAGTGACTACGATTATGGATTTCCTTCGGGAACTAGATATATATCTCCATCACTAGAGTGGCTGGGAGTATCCATCTTCGTGGCAAACTAAATTACATTGTTACCAATGATATTAAATTCAGGAACAGTATCTTACGAAGTGTCATGTGCTACCATGCTGGGATGGCGATGAAGGAGACTTCTTCAAAGCATTCTCATAACAGGAACTACTTTATAGCCTAACAATAATAATAATCACTTTATTGTTAACAACATGATCACACATTTTTTGTAATAATACAGAATGGAATTCTCAGCATGTAATATTTCAACAAATTAGTTTCCCGTACAATTTTTTTAGAAGAAATAATTATTGCATCTGAATAGTGTTAATAATAACAACAGCGCTGAAAGCATTAGTGTGAAACAGTAGGCTGATGTTAAACTAGAGTCTGGTCTGCACTCGGGAGTGAATACAAAATTGAGTGTAAGTTTGGTGGTAGTAGTTCATTCACCTCATGCAAAAAATCTTCAGTTCGCTATCGGTATAGTCCGCACTTTAATGTCCTGTATGTTTGAGCATTTACAAGTCCATTTCCATCGGGTGTAACGTTTTTTCTTTTTGTTCTTAACTTCATAAAACGTATTTTGAAAACATTTAAAAAATATATGAGAGTATAGGATACATTTAAAAGATAAACTCAAAAGATTAAAACAAATTGAAAGAGAAGAATTTGATAAAATATTTCTGGTGGAAAATTTGTGGTAGCCGAAGGTTTAATTGGACCGCTAGTTTCTTTTGATCAATACGTTTATTCAAAGCCGCTGAGTCAAATTTAAATGATATGAATTTCTTCATGATCTTAATTAATTCATCCATTTCATAGCTCTTCTGACTTACTAGCTGAACTAAAATCGTCTTCTATTGTAAGTTGATTAGCGATTGACATTTGTCGGTAATATAAATTAACGTTGAACTAAGATCTTGTTTTAGCTGGTTTGGCAGCCATATTCTGTTGTATATATGTTTGAATGGTTGAAGATTGGTTATCTGTCAGAGATTTAAATTAACATCAGTGCTGATAGCACCCAGGTGTGTTGGCCAACACTCACTTTTATTCAACATTTCGGGCACCAGCATCATATACTGACCAACGGAAAGTGTTCTTCAACCCATTTGACTGTGTCATCAAAGCTTTGGTCATATGAATTCTAAAAGAGAGGGAGAGACAGCAATGATTAGGTTACAGTACTTGTAAAATTCAACTGAACCGAATTTCCTAAACAACAAGGCGTAATTATGTGCATAAAAACCAACTATGAATACATGTAATGTCTGTATTTTGTTCCCAGTGAAATTCTATTATATCGACGGCAAAACTGTAATTTTATGGTACAGACGTATGGTTGGGCAGGTTTGGCGACAAAAAGGAATCAGTCTTGGGATTGGTATGCCACGCCAAGTCTCTGTACCATACACAGGCACTGATTTGACGTTGGTGTTGAAAATCTGGATCTTGTTCTTTGAGCTGAGTGCAGAAGATCTCCACACTGGTTTCAGACAAATAAACGCCTGTCTTGCTGTCTTTCCGATTCTGACTTTGACATCCTCGTCTGTGCCGCCACCTGTAGTTGAAACAGTGCTTGGTTCCCACTGCATGAGAGAGAGCCTTCGATGCTGCTGGAAGCAGGACATCATGATAGCCACTAGAAAACTCAGTGTGCTCGTGGTTGTCGTTTCGTCTGGGTGACAATATCGGAGAAGGTTAATGACTCCTTTCCAGTTGACAGTTTGGAGAGTCCACTTCCATTCCATCTGCTTTCGCAAATTCCAAGCACTTCAATATGATATCTTCTTATCTCGTTTGCAATCTGGGCTGCCTTGCTGGGTTCAATAATGGTGTGGACATTCCATGTCACAATGTTTACTTTCGCTTTCATCGAGAGGATACATCGGTCGACTGGCTTCTCGAAGGCTTCCACCAACCGACGTCATTTCATCTCTCCGATTCCAACTAGGAATAAGTTTATTTTTGTTGTTTATATTTTGTTTGTGCTTTGAAGTTTGTTTAGTGATTGTATTGGTTTTCCGGGGTAGGGTTTACTGGTCCTATGCCCAACCTTTCCTCTTTATTGGGGCTTAGGACTGGCTAGTATCTAGTGAACTAGTTAACCAGGCAAGGTTAACTCATTAGTATTTCACTCGAATTGAGTCAGTACAAACAGCCGAATCTTTCAAACAACCCCTAGTCCTACTAGTTACTTGAACATACTGGTCTAACCTAAAATCAAATATCTGGTTTATTCTGAGGAAAATAATCACTAAAATTCAGGGTCTTGAAATATTTACAGCCTGTCAATTAGGTGGAAGGAAATACAGTACAGTTCAGGCCGAAGTAATGAAACCCCATACTTAAATTCAAAACAAGTCATACAGTGGCATATTCATAATGAGGCTTCACTGAATGAACTACGAAGACGGCAGGATACTGCTGAGAATATGCATAATGTAGTAAGAGGACGGATGTTATCAGAGAAATGTGGTGTATTCGCTCCATACCTTTTGAACATTCTGGTCACATTTACTTTTCAAGGTATTTTATACGAAGGATAAAAATAGGTTAGGGTAAGATAAATAAATTAAGAAAATACAAGATTTGGAAGATATAAGGATAATAAGGAGGAATAATAAACCTTCACATCTCCCTTGACGTTAAAGTGAGATATAGATTATCAAGGAAGGTTTGAGGTAAAGACACAAAAGGGGTTTGCACTTTCGTATGACTTAGGTTCCAATGAACCTAAGTATACAGTCTTGACAGCTCCTATACGATGATCTAAAAGCTGTTTCGGGCCAATCTTGTGGTTTACTTCTATAATGTGTTTACCTGTCAATGATGATGCTTGCCTGCCCTCTGCATTTATCAGATAATATTGATGTAATTGTTTTTCTAGCCATTTAGGGATAGACTGAACGGTCCTCAGCTATATAATTTGATTAGTATACCTAATGTATGCGTCACTGCAAACGCATGTAAACTTGTACGCACAGAGGGATGTGACGTAATGATTTATATAGTGATGAGATTTATTTTGAAGCATGGATTACATTTTCGCTATAACTTTGATTTCACCGATAAAAATATGTGGATACTACTTGTTATTGAGCATAGAATGGCAATCAGCTCTCTACCTCAACTTCATCGACTTTGAGAAGGCCTTTGACAGCGTCGACCGTGAAGTAATTTGGAAACTGCTTCAATACTACGGAGTACCGCAAACCTTTATCCGCCTCGTCCAACAGCTATATGAAGATGCCACATGCCAAGTAATCCACAATGGGAAGCTCAGTGATGCCTTTGAAGTGAAGACAGGAGTGAAACAAGGTTGCCTACTATCCCCCATGATATTCCTTATTGTGGTGGACTGGATCATGCAGCAAACAGTGGGCAGCGAGAAGAGGGGGATACGCTGGCTGGACCACGGAAAAGAACCTAGAAGACTTGGATTTCGCCAACGATGACCTATGCCTAATGTCACACAAACTTGAAGATCTGCAGGCAAAAACTAACAAGTTGATAGAAGAGGTGGGGCAGCTAAGACGGGACTTCAGGTGAATATAGAGAAGACAGAAGTGATGAAGATACCGCACCACCACCATCAACAACAACAACAAACTCCAATCACCGTCAACGGGAGAAACTTGAAGGAAGTAACCTCCTTCACTTATCTAGGAAGCACTGTTTCAACTACAGGCGGGACGGACGAGGACGTCAAAGTCAGAATCGGAAAAGCAAGACAGGCGTTCATTAGCCTGAAACCAGTGTGGAGATCTCCTGCACTCAGCATGCGGAACAAGATACGGATTTTCAACACCAACGTCAAGTCAGTGCTCTTGTATGGCTCAGAGACTTGGCGCGTCACGAAAGGGATTTCCAATAAACTACAGACATTCATCAACAACTGCTTACGCTGGCTCGCTACTGAAGATCAGATGGCCAGAAAAAATAAGCAACAAGGAGCTCTGGGAACGAACCAACCAAGAACCTATCACGCAACAAATATGTAGGAGGAGGTGGAGATGGATTGGGCATGCACTGAGAAGGCCGACTGAGGACATCACGCGTCAGGCCCTCGAGTGGAATCCCCATGGGAAGCGACGAGTTGGACGTCCGAGGGTGACATGGAGGAGGTCGTGCGAGCAGGAAATGAGAGCTTGTGGGCTGTCGTGGGACCAGGTTGAAAAGATCTCGGAGAACAGAGGTCACTGGAGGCGTGCTACTGAAGCCCTATGTTCCACTAGGAACCCAAGGGACTAATAATAATAATAATACTACTTGTTATTATTAAGTAACAAGATTGGAAATATGAAAAAAGTAAAAGGTCAGAGGCTTGAAAAATTGAAGAGTATTGCGTTAAATTCATAAACGATTACTCATTCTAATTAACCTTATTCTACCTGTCCTACCTTTTAAATTATTTCACTTTTAGAATGATCCTCAGCTGCATTACACATTATCACTGGTGAATGATTGCACATGCTATTTTAAATAATCTATTCAGAAAAAAGTTTAATATGGTCACTCACTATACAGTAATTCTTTTTAATGATCTTCAGATGCTGTAAAAGAAAGGGGATTTTTAACAATGACATCAAGTTACATGATGGAATGATAGATTATGTACTTTTCTGAAGCTTATTAATCCTTCAAAGTTGATATCAGCTTAAACTGTATATCCGTGCATGTTTCCAAAGAAGTGCAACTAGTATACATACCTTTTATGAATTCCTCTAAGAGCTATATTAGAAGCAGGGGATTGCGAAAATGAAAATGAATCAATCCATCACCTACTATGTAGCCTAATCGAGATCGCCGTCAATATACACTAAATGTTTGCCAATCTCACTTCATTACTGAACTATAATCGGAGAAAATACTTAGACTGATTTTTGCATGTAGTTGTACGTGCATAAATTTTAATGCATCTCTTTCTCGCCTTCCCAGAGGACAGACATAGAGAGAGATGCTGAAGCAGACAATGCTTGTCATTAGATAAAGTACTCTCAGCCGGTTGTCTACAAGGGTTCAGAGGGCTATCCAAGACTGCATTTATCAGCATGGTTAGTGGTATACGACTCGCTCTTATAACAGCCTTCAAAACCCTAAGCAACACAGCATAGTCTTCTCTCCAGAGTCCAGGAAAGAATGAGGGGGAACAACGAGTAAGCTTGGGCAAAACACAGGAGCCAATAAAGCGTTACATTAGAGGTTGAGTTTCCTTATATAAAATGTTAAGCAAAGGATTTTCTTGGAAATCACTAAGATATGAAGGGGTCAAGAAAAATCTGAAGAAAAGTATAACCCAAGATGAGCCACGCTTGAGACACTCTCTTTAATAGGGCCATCTACAGTACAGGAGTCATGAAACTGAAGGAATTTACAAAGATTTTGTTCATATCTTGAGCTAAGAATAACCGTCTGACTTTCGGATGGATTGTATGAAAGCCATTTGAGAAAGATAAGTGACCACTTTCAGTTAAGTTTTAAATCGGAAACAATCTGAAAAAGAGATGATCTGCATGAATACTGTCAGGTCATCGGTGTACTTAACATAGTCGACTTTAGTTGAGGTTGGTGAGTCATAAAAATGAAAGAGAAAAGAAAATTAGAATGAACAGCAGCTTGAGGCACATTGATTTAATTAGTTAGCGAAGAACAGCGCTCCCCTCTGTATAAAGTGAATTGTCTTTCCTCAGTAAAATAAGAATGAAGCCAGTTTGCAATCGAGAACTCAATGTGAGTTCTGGCAAGCTTGTTCAGTAAAAAGGGTCTAGGGATAAAGTCAGAAGTAGTAGTATAATTTAAGAAGGCAGATCTAATAATATACTTACCACCTCTGTCCAGATTGGGAATGTTATGATTTAAAACAACTGCAGCACATAAAGTACTCCTTCTGAGTTTGTAGGGAAGTTGATTAGGATAGATGAAAACCACGAAGCACACGAATCAACAGTTCTTCCGCAGTCTTTAGGAATGGTGAAGCTGTTTCAGCTGGTCAGAAATCCGCACTTCCGTTAGAAAATATGGTCTTAGATACCAGAAGCACTTCAACTTTCTTCAAGGATGTCATCATGTTATTTCTAGCAAAGAACTCATTATTAATGTTTGTGAGTGGATGAATATCAGAAAAGAATATCTGTCATGCCATCTGGTTCGAGGCTTTGAGAAACTTTTAATGATTTTAAGCATATGAACACAAATGTTACAGTGAATTTAGCAAAGTTGCCTTCTGTTATGCATGAAAAATTAGATGAGATAAAAGTAATAGATTTAAGTATGAATGACTGGTTTAGTGCAGGGACATTTTTGCAGGCTACATTTCCGAGTTTTATCTTGCCACTGAGATCCTTAAAAAGTCTCCATAAACTAGAAGGGTATTTGTATTACATCTTAATTTGGTTACATATTAAATTTAGGTGTTTTATCTGAGACTTAATCAGGTAGTTATTTCCTTTAGTACCAGAATGATCCTTCAATTTAAGCAGCTTTTCATTTTTCGTGTCACAGTATTTTTAACTACACAGAAGAAAGCCTATCAAACCTTAGCTAACACAATGGATCTTAAGTCTTTCGAGTGTGGTTTATCTTTGATATATTTTAAGCTAATGAACTGAAAAAATCTTTTCAAAATAACCTGGAGTTGGTAAATGCTTCCTAGTTCAAATTAGCACTGTTGTGAAATATACATGCTCAAAGAGGGAAAAAAAAGTAATTCATCATTATTCTTGTTATGTTTCGCTTATCTTCTTAAGGCTTTACCACCCACATATAAATATCCAACAGTTTTGAAACGTATAAACGCTGAACCTGATCTATCAGCCTTTGTTCAAAGTCTACCCAATGATTTGAAAAAGAAATTAGATGAACCAGATTCAAATGTATGGTATACAGTTTTCGCAGTACCAAATAATGTCTGGAATAGAATGATATCTGGAATTACTTCACCTGAAGTAAGTTTTACATGTATAGTGCTAGACAAATTATTTTATGTTGAGTGTTCTTGATGATGAGAATATTCTGGAAGAATGAAGAACCAAACATTTTATGAAGGAAAGAGTTGTATTGTTAGTGTAAATACTTGTACAACTTAGTAATGAGAAGATAGAGGTTATCTTAGGTATATGATTTATTAGCATATTCAGATCCAGATTTGTTATTTGAGAATAAAATAATATGAGCCTATATTCATCCTTTTCCAGTAGATTTCTGTGCTTGTCCAATTGATGATCTGGGCACCACTTCTTCTGGGAGTCGGTTCCAGGCGTTAATTACTCAACGTGAGAACCATTACTCTACGGAGACTATGTTCGTTCTTTACTTTTGTATCCTCCTACTATGTCCTCTGAGGTGTCCCGACCTAGCGAAAAAGGAAAAGAGGAGATAGATCAGGTTCAAAGTCATTTCTTAGAATCTTGCATAGCATGGCTAGATCGCCTGTCTGTCTGACATAGGATAGGGGGGAGAGGTTCAGCTCCTTAAGTTGACATTGCAGGCCCTCTGAACTCTTTTCAGAAGGTCAGCGTCACTTTCCGGACAAAGATTTGCCTCCTGTGCACAGTTTTTCAATTTAGACTTAACTAAGGATGTGAATAAGGTGTAGGACATATCATCACGATCTGTATAGTGCCCAAAGTATCCCAAACCTCCAAGCTGCTAACAGTCGACAGTGTGCCGAGGTTTTCAAATCATAACTCATTGTGAATCCTAGTTCATTTTTAGTCAGTACTGAAGATAGAGGAGTCCCATCACTATCTATAGCGCTATGCATTTCGAATAATCTGACTACACGTGGACTTTTTGAACTATATATCAAAATTTACTAAAAAGGTCAATTAAGTCATTCGAAAACATAAAAATAGGAAGGGCAGAATGAAACCGAAATCTAAATCATAACACATTACTCTCGATATGAGAATCGTAATCAGTATTACCAAGATGGGGTTGAAGTGAGTACAAATTGTTTTCGCCTACATAAAGGAAGTTTAAATCTACGGATATATGGGGGTTCGGCGAATCTAAGTACTCGGCCCTGTCCACTTTCATTCAAGACTTTGAAGGCTGTTTTCATATTTATCCCGCGATTAGTTCCTAGTGTGTATCTAGCAATAGAAGAAGATGAGTATTTGTCTCCTGCACTTATCAGATCTGTTGAGGTCAACTGCTTTTGAAGCCGATCAGATACATGTTTAACCATCCTCAACTGCATAACACGATTACTCCTTGCTATGCATATATATCCCCGTACACATGTAAATTGATAAACACAGTGGGATATGATGCAATTATCTGTGTATTGCTTTGGTTTGTGGCGTAATATAGACTTCGTCTTCTTTACAATGATTACCTTGGATGCACAATTTGTTTTACAGATGCTTGGTCTAAAGCTAGGTGAATTACCTCTAAATAGTAATGAGATGTAGACATTTATTTTAGGAACTGAACACTCAATGCCTTTAAGGGCTACATAGCTTTATCACATGTTGATAAATTTCAGAGGGTAGAAACTCTGTAACAGTGTTGCTATCAACATTTTGGTTTCGTCTTCTCTTATGTTGTTGGTGAAGAGGCAATCTATCCTATTAAATAAGTATCTAACCAAGTTGCGTTTGTGTTAAACTGGACAATAACTACAGGAATCACATAAGTTTCCTATAGATCGACCTTCTGATCGACTTATCCTCCCATCGACAAAGCAATATGTTCCATTTATGATCAATTTGTTCAAAATTTATAGCAGTAATGCATCATATTGTTCAGATAATCTTAGTCTTCATTATAAAGCTGCGTAAATTTATCATGAGGGCTAATTACTTTAATGCGTATTACAGAAACATTGATCGTAGACGATGCATAACACATTCTCATGAGAAATTGGTAGGAAGGAAGTGAAAAAATCAGATTATCTATACGAAAAATATTTGAACAGTATGCTTCATTTTATTAGTTACTCAGTTTGTATAGTACGATATCGGATGCTGTTTAGGTAAGTAAATATATTAGTAGTGTTGTGCTGTTCTTTTGGAAGTAAACGGTTCAACTGTAGAAGTTGTAATTCCCTATCGTATCTTTAAGACTCCTTTAAAAAGCTTCGTACTTAAAGTGATTCGATTAGATTTCACTCTTTCTTTTCCTTGCAGAATGCAATTAAAGTTTCGACAATCAAATGTTGGTCCTAACCCCACCAATATTACTTGTTATTGAGCTTAAGAAAGGCTCAGTAACGGACATATACAGTGAACACTAAGACTGGATAATCATAGTCATCAACAGCCTTCATAGAGAACAAAACGATGTTATTAAATGATGCTTGTTATTTCTTGTTATTATATTGGATGGAAATGTCTGATCTCTGCTGGTAGATGGAGTGGGAGTGCAGGTACATATACCTGACGAGTCCCAAACCGTATGAAACTCGTGTCTTCGTTTCCACCGCTAGCCACTAAATGAACTGAAAAAAAATGTTAGCTTTGCAAAACTAGTTAATTTTTGAGAGCTGAATCAATCATTAAAGCACCTTATTTCAAAGAGTTAGAAATGAGTTGATCATATATATCAAGTTAGTTCCAATGATACAGTTATTTACTATCGTACCAACGTAAGGCTTGTCTCGAATATATATAAGCAAGCATATAGGTAATCATAACATAAACAATACGTACTATACACTATATTGATGACTAGCAGAGGAACCCAGGACGCGCGTTTCGTCCTATTTGAGACTGACCAGCTGGATGTACCTGCACCCCAGTGAGTGTTGTTCTCAGTACCTTTCACTTCAAACGCCGAATGCGTTACCCATTGGGCCACTGAGGCACGGTAGCCACCACTTGTCCAATGGGTGTCAGGAGTTGAGCATTTCAGCAACGGGAAATCACGAGTATCACTACAACATACCGTACACGTAGATTCTGCAGTACATAGGACTATTTAGAATCATATTACACACGAAATACTTTTATAAAAATTGTGCTGAATACTTTTAAACGTGGGTAATAAAACTCACTCGACCATAACTGAAATGATCTGTAGCTCGGAAAAAACATGTGAATGTATCATGTAGAGCCAAATTTAAGCAGTTAACAAAAATTTCAGATTTACCGTTCTGATTACTTTCACAATTGGCTTATAACCTAAATTTGTGATTTCTTGTCGATCAAACTGCTAATAGTGATGAAATCTAAAATATGATAATTTTGAAAAACAGCTAATTTCTAAAAAAACTGATCTGTATACATAAACTAACGTTTATACAGTAGGACGTAAATAGAAATATTGAACAGTTGAACATGAATCTAAATTTAATACGATAACTAGTAACATCAAACAAGTCTTATCAATCGTCCATGGAGTTGATGATGTCAAGGAAGATAAATTACATGAAATGTTCCATAAAGACGGTAAAAATAAATACTCTGAACTAATGGGAGATTGTCGACTGAATAACTGAAATATATTAGAAGGTTAACTTGTATGTTAAGAAATCATAGATGTAATCTTCGTTTAACATGACGAACAGTAAGTGGACAATACTGGAAAGCATATTCTTTAGGAGATTTTCCAGAGTAGAGAAGTGCATAGACAGCCTATCCTGTTTACTAATACAGAATTGTATAATGTTAAACAGTTGAATTTTAAACCTTTTTGCAGTAACTCAGTGATTCATCTATTAGTGGTATAAATGATTTCGGCTGCGTCAACTGGGCATTATATAGTAACTAATCTTATATATTTCAATTTGGTATTCATCATAAACTGACACCAGTTGGAGGAATATTAGAAACGTAGGAGCGTTGGACAGCTGTTTCGTCCCACTATAGGGCTCCTCAGCACCCACAAACACACCCAGGGATCGAATCCACGACCTTCAGGTTCCGTGGATAGCATTTTAAAATTGAGCCACTCGGTCAGAATTCAGTGCTTCATATTTCCAACTTACTTCAGTTCGCAACATAGTGCAATCATTATCCAGTATCATTCTTGAGTATTTGTCTCCACGTTCACCACTGGTAACGACTTTCCATTACAACTTCAGGAATTACCTTTCGAAGCTAGTCGCCAATGAGCACTAGATCAACTGAATCTTGAGGTTAATATAAGTGTAAAACTTGGGCACTGTGGACGAGTGTAATTCCATTTTAGTCTGTTTATTAGAAATATCGCATAGCGAAACAGTAGCATTTACTGGAGGTTCATGGGGTTTTATTGATTTTTTAATTTGGTATTCATGGGTGCGTACTGCTGAGGAGTCTCATACCCGGACGAAACAGCTGTCCACTGCTCCCCGATTTCCAATGTTCCTGAAAGATGGCACTTGAGGATTGTCCCACTATGTTATGAAGTGACAGTATTAGGATATGCGGACCACTGAATTCTGTCCCAGTGGCTCAATGGTAGCATGCTATCCACGGAACCTGAAGGTTGTGGGTTCGATCCATGGCAGGCTGGGGTGATGAGTGTGTACTGCTGAAGAACACATAGACGGAACAGCTGTGCTCTCAAATTTCCAAAGTTCCCCCAAATGATATCAATCCATAATGAGTACCAACCTGAAATCAATAAATCCCCACAAACCCCTAAACTAAACTAATCTTAAATACCTTAGTTCTGAGTGTTGACCAAATTCTATCGATCATTTTGTTATGTGGCCACCATACTAGGAAGGCTCACCACTGCGGTACACTTTGAAGAAAATGAGTTGATTAGAGACGATCGGTAGAAAGCTACGCTTAAGCTAAGTTTCATCCGCTTTCGTAATGGTCAGCTGGACAACTTCAAGGAAAATAATGTCCTGTGAGAGATTTGAACCTATTTTCCCCACGGTTGCAGTCAGCCACGTTACCACTGGACTATTCAGTCCACGAACGACCTCCTGGACTAAACAGACTGAACGGTCAGTGGAGATCAACCAGTTTATATTTCCTATTTCTGATTTTGGAATTTATTTGATAAC